TCCAACTGTCAGTAGTCTGTCACTTGTTATTTACTCCTTGTCACTACCTTCAGGAAGCAGAATAGCTTCACTAGTAAAGGCTGTTCACGATAAAGTGAGCACTTCTGAAATCAACCTTTAAAAAAAGTCACTGCCTCTACGTGCATATGTTTTAACGGGCGCAATGAGTGACGAGTCCAGTAAAGTTGGTAACGATGAAAGGGAAAGTAGTTCCGTATATTAACGTCGAACTAAAAGTGTTAGGTGATCATGCGCGATAACTTAAATTATTTCTCTCGCTTTCTGTATTTTTCAATGCATTGAAGTGTAAAAATGAGCAGCTTTATACAATATTTACTTTTCTAATAACTTCATAGTTTCACTTGAGTGACGCACGAATAGAGTGATGAGGCCCATGACAATATTAATTTTACATAAGGCGGAAGAACACCCAACGTGTATGCAAGTAGATCTTAAGCAGGGCTTTCAAAAGGGCTCATTTTACCTTAACTAGCTATACTTGTCAAACCTGTCGCTTTGAGAAATAGGCCCCCGGTGTTGGTGAGACAGCTGATAGCATCACCAATGCTACGAGCGCATTTATTCCCCTTTGCGATGTTCATTCCGCTACTCTCCGCGAGACGTGCTCAGACGTCTGCCGGACACTATACGCAGTAATTTTTTGGGAAAATTGTGTTTTTTTTTTTTTTTGTAAAATCTATTGTAAACAAACGGAACACCATTGTTTGAACACGTAATTTTAAGAGTGCTAATGGTAATTCCTGAAACGGAGGGCATGTGTAGAAGATGAAAGGGAGTGTGTCACTTGGCCTAAAACTCAATTGGCGTAAATGCCACTTGGCCTAAAGTAATTTCTGCCAAATTACTTTTAGTCCAATTGATGTGTACCCGGATAAAATCAGTCTACCTTTTCTTTAGCCTGTGGTTCTGGAGCGTTCAAGTACTGTGTCTCTAATACTACCGGATCAACAAGTCACTTCCAATCGGAGAAATAACCCTAGTTTCCTTGGTCGGCTACAAAAGCTAAGTGTGGAGAATTATCCAGATGTGGAAGTGAAATAGTCTTCTGAAGTAAAATACCTCGACGATACTTCACAGTGAGTTAGCGCCAACACACAAGTCCTTGTTATCAGATATGATACCACAATAACATGTGATAGTCGTAAGTGACGTCACGTGGTTTTGGCGAAGATGACAAATCGGCACTTCCTGTAAGCTCGGATAATCGTTTTCCTTCCGGAAGCGCGTATTATGGACTTGTTCCATTTGCACGAGGGACGTGTGGGCCAACGATAGTAGTTTAGAAACAACGATTATTTTTAAAGAATACATGAACTTCGTTAATTCCATGCTACAAATATTCTGTTTCGAAGCAGATGATCTCGGAAGCAATCACGGCGGTGTATGTGTACCGTTTATGCCGAAAAGAAGGCTGTTTTTTTTTTTGCGTCAACGAAATAAAATTTTTGATACTGCACCACCCGGCCGACTGATTGGAAGGAGGTTTTCCCAAGTGATTTCCAGCAGCACTTCAGGCAAATGCTGACGCAGATTGTTAAAGTCTTGCCTTCCCAGTCTTAATATATTATCGTCTGAGCAAATGGATAAACACATATTATTGACATTTTATCTTCCTGCAGCAGCTTGTAGCAGTAAGAGAAGACGAGTTATGCGGGTCTGATATTGTAATCTGCAGCAACATATACGGATTTATAAACATTAATTTTTGTAGCAGAAGGCGTATTAATTTTATTTTTTACGGACGGCATGTATTATTTATTCCAGTTAATATTGTCAGCACATTTGGAACGAATTATGTTCAATGATTGCCTCACATCAGCGTAAGCAACTTCACGCAAATACGGCTGGGCTGCAAGAAACTTTAAAAACAAGTGCCTTGAGCGCTAGCGAGGCTTCCCTGTGGTTGCAGGAATTTCTATGATTTTTACAACAATGCAACCGGGGGGGGGGGGGGAGTGGAGCTGTCTAGGTAGTTTGAAGGTGAAAATTAAATATGGAAATACAGCTTTATGTAAAATTTTAGGCTGCTATAATATTGGTACAATACGAAATTAGATTATTTTTCCTATAATGATAAAAGGAGAACTATGCAGATGTAGCAAATATGCAATTAATTTTTTGTAACAACCAAAGTAGTAAACAACAAGTAGTTAATAGTAGGCCAACTGTTTGCAGTGATGGCAAACGTTCGCATTTAGTCATATAAAAACAAGTGACATTACCTAATTTTAAAATGTTCGTGATATGGGCCGATGTTCTCACAATGATAGAATTCAGCAGAAGCTCCACAAGCAGACGATAGATCAAATGGCAACGGTTACTGCTGGGGGAATATTAGCAGCAAGTTAATGGGCCAAGTATGGCATGCCAGCTGTTACCTACAGCCTGAAAAATACAGGGTGAGTCCTTTAAAAGAGGCTCCGTGGGGCATGTGTGTAACGGAGCGAGGGAATGAGGAAATACAGACCACGGGCCTCTTTTAAAGGACTCTCGCCCTTAGTAGCAAGATAATGGGTCATTTATGGCATGCCATCTGTTACTTACTGCCGCGGAAGTATTAGTTACATATTACATGCTAATGGGCTACTTACGGCATGCCAACTGTTGCTTACTGCTAGGGACATAATAGCAGCAAGCTTAGGAGACATTTGTGGCATGCCAACTGTTGCTTATTACTGAAGAAACATTAAAGCAAGCTTACGGGCCATATATGACATGTTAACTACATGTTTTCGTGAAATAGCAATTAGCATATGTGAATTCACTTCATTATTTTCATTTCATGTGTAAGTGAAATAAAATAATCATGTGATATTACTAGTGATACGAAAATATAGTGTCTATACTGGAATTGTGCAAAGCATACCATAGAAAAAAAAATCTTAATTTTGCATTTTTAATATCAACTGACAGTGGCCCGAAAATAAATTACTAGTAATCTAAACAAAACAGATATATACCAGTATTGTGAGAAAAGTATTCTAGTTTACTTAAGACGTTCTACAGGGATGAATGGTACATTTATTGGTAGCATTCTAAGACTGTAAACTGACGGATTGTGAGTTCGAATCCGCGTTCTTCTAAAGAGATTTACGAACTATGAAATAAAACCAAGGGTAACATAATTTGTCAAGAGATGAAATAAATCAGTTGTTCACGGGTGAAAACAGAACAATTTCCATGTTCTCAAAGTGCATGGCAAGCTGTAAGCTACAAGTGGTCAATAGCTGGGTGGTCTAGTGCAATGGGGGTGAATTACTCGATGGAGATTTTTGGACATTCGCCATGGCAATCCAAATGTCTGCCATGGGAAAACAGGACTGAATACGAAAAAATATACTTAAATAATACAAGTAACCTATGGACGAGAAAATTAATATATGCATTCGAAAAAACTATGTACTACCAATAGATAACATACCGAAGACGACAAAGGCTAATTATCTGCTTAAACAAATAAAACAAACACAATGACGAAACTCATACAAACACAGTAGTTTTACTCTATTCCCTATTGGAATTTTTCAGTGTTGTATAAATATATTTCTTTTCTCGTCCATAGGTTACTTGTCTTATTCAAGTAGATATATTTTTTCGTGTTCAGTCCTGTTTTCCCATGACAGACATCTGCATTGCAATGGCGAATATCCAAAAATCTCCATCGAATCAATAGCTGGGTTTTAAATGCAAATAATTGGACTGCAAGTGGTCAATAGCTGGGCCACAAGTAGCTTGCCGACAGTTGGCTAACTTGCAAGTCAGAAGCAGTAAGCAAGTGGGCCACTTCTGCCACTCATGCCCCACCGATGGTGCTGGGATACTTGAGGTATAGTTGGCATCGCAAAATCGGGCTGCTTATGCGCAGATTGTATTTTGCTATATGGAACCAAATTGGTCAGTGGCCCAGATGTGATCAATTACACAACAAACAGGTTGCATCATGCGGGCCACCTGCAGCTGTGGGTGCATTACGGGTGTTGGCTAATTATTTAAACCTTATGTGGGCTGCTCGTGTACAAACAGATTTACACAAGTAGGACAACTGACGTTTGCTACTCGAGTAAGTCACCAATGCAGTAACAAAAGGCTGAAAGCAAAAAAATGCTGCAACATTGAATGCAAGCTATTAATATCTGCGCTGCTTAAAAAAGAAGTGTATATTTGCTGGGAGTAAACAATCAATGAATATAAGCAATGAGAGGTGAGGCTAGTCTGAAAACATGTACGCCAGCAAGCTGGAAGTTATCTGTCTACGAGAAACAACTATGAAACTTCAGTAAAAAATATCTGAAAAATAATCAAATATGCTTGCGTTTTCACTAACGAAGCTACGACCTTTTCTGCCCTTCTTCAGTTCACAATTCGTCCAGTCAGCAGGCCATAAAGGAAAAAGGAAGGGGGGGGGGGGGGGAGATAACGTAGAAAGTTGAAAGAAATGTTTTGCATTAAAAAATTGTTAAAGTGGTTAGTATTTAAGTTTGAGTTGTGCTTAGGCGATTTCTACATACAATTATGAATATGGTGATAAGTCAACATGAGGTACATCGTGGTTCTTAGCATATTATCATTTTTGAAGCGTCTCAACATTTGATTGTTAGTGACATAATGTCATATATGGACTGTTACAAAGAATAGTTATGACATTATTACTTATGCTTGGCATTCGTTTTTTTTTTGTTTTTTTTTTATTTCCCGTAATTATTGTTATTACGCTCACTTTATTTACCTCATTTTCGAATTGTTATAAGGTTCCATAATTGAAATCTTTCACTGAGCCGTTCAGGTGGTAACGAACTTAACATAGAAGTCTTGCTGTATGTTTCCAGAAACACGCTACGGAGTGTTCGCTTCTCGACTGAATGTAAAGTTATAATATAAATCAAAGATGCATATGACCAATTACAATGTTAATTATAGAGAGAGTTATAACATAAACTTAACTATATCAAGATATATTATGTATAACACCGATAAGCATAGCCTCGGTGGCGCAGAGGGCAGCGTGTAAGTTTCGTAATCTTACGGACGTGAGTTCGAATCTCACCCGAGGCAAGTAATATTTACTTTTGGGTCTGTTAGAGAAGGTCTTATTATTTTTGGCGAATATAACTGCTAAGTGAACAGAAAAATAAATTGGGAAAAACATTTTACACTGAAATATTTATATGTTTGATGTTACGCTGTTGTGCAATAACAGAGAGTTGTTTAAATGTTGGTCTGAGTCACTAAATATTTGAATTTGCAGTTTTAAGCAACTGCGTAGTCGTCGTAAGTAAATTGTACTATAATTAATTCATTTAAATGTAAGATATTATTCAAACTGTAACACAGTCAAAGACGCGCCAGACTTTAATAATGTCAATGAAGAAATGTCTTCGGTTTTCTGCAACCGGATAGCGTGTTAAGTTTACACTTACGTTTTTACATTTCAGTAGAATCAGACGTGAATAAATTCTGTGGAATTAGCAAGCCGGAATCATTCTTACAAATTTTATTCTTCCATTCGTCTTCTCATAAAAAATATACAATTATCATTCTATTCTTGCTATAGATGATGAAGTTTAAAATATTTCTACAGCAATTATAGATGAACTGCAATTGTACAACTTACGGAGGCAAACAAGAAGGTGGGTGGATACACACTTAAGGCCACGTACATAGGCGGAAAAATTATTTTGTAGACTAAGGATGCTTTCGTATTATTTAAAAAAAAATGCGGCCATGTATGCTACGTACGAATGTTAAGTTTTTATAAATTAAATCATCTAAACACTGTAATATAATTCGAAGCGGGTGGTATATATGGTAACACTCCTAGCTATATTGTGACGTCAGTTTAAGATACACGTATGGGCGCCGTATGTAATGTATGTCTGTAAGTGAGTTATAAGTAAAAATAACTATAATTCCTATGTTGGCTGCGATTAGTGTGAGCAGAAGGGGGTTTCCAGGTGTATTGAGAAGATGTGTGGCTTGTGACATATATCATAGGCAATTGCACATAAGCTGACTCCACTTACCACTATAATCAGGACCAATCAACTGGAAGGCAGCTAGAGAACAGAGCGTAACACCAAAATATATTTTGCAAAAAATGAGATAACTAGGATTAATCAATCAGTATTACACTCTCAAATTAGGTTTAATGCATCATTAATTTTATTGCAAATAATTCTATCGTACTAATATATTCTTCTTAATAATTATATTATCTCTGAAATTATTGGCAACATTGAAATTTTCATTCAAAATCACATCTAAATTGCATGTAGTGGCCGTAAACGAAGTAGCATCGCCCATTGATGTACGATTCGTTAAATATCATGTAGCCCTTTGAATTAATTGCTTTCTCAATATTGAGGGCAAGGCTCTAGACACTCGGGGATTGTAGGTTTAGAATATTAAGCAAGTTCACTTGGCGTCTATCCAAATTAAAAACGGCGTACTCTCCTATACGACGAGAAAATTTGAACGGTGACCATTTCAAAAGAAGCTTTACTTAGAATCGTAGAAATATTTACAACCTACACGCTGAACTGTGATGCAGTGGTATGTAGGCTTGCAGCATATTGTGACCCGCGAGACATCTCAAAAATAATCTTCCCTGCTTTGGGCACACGGGCCGTGGTACAACGATGATACAGTCTTTCAAGTACCACTCGTTATTCGTGATAGACGAACTGAATTACCATAACTGCAGGCTTACGGCCCAAACAGACCCTCTTCTGTTTATGAAAACTTCCCGGGAATGCTTATTTGTGGTCTGTTATATAACTGCGGCACTCGCGTCACTTTCCCTACGAGCTGCAAAATAAAATCCTACCGGGCGCGTGACACACGTCACGCCCCGTCAAATCGTAGTATCATACTCAATATGGCTGCACAAAGCCTTAGCTAAGATTAAGATAACGCTATAATTGAGCCAATCTGTGAGCGGCTACTTCGTTAATCGGTCAACAGTAGTAGGGCATAGTTACTTCTGGCGCAGGAGCCAGGAGAGGGATCCGGGTTCTGGCCACCATGTTGAAATTTTCCTTTCAAAAATCGCCCATTTTCGCACAAAACCGTATATTTTAGCACAAAAATGCCTTAAAATTTCCCTTTTTTCCTTAAAAATGTCCCGTTTTTCCCATTTTGCCAAAAATGACTCCCCAGAAAAGTCCATTTTCAGTTATTTTCTGTAACAGGGATCAGTGACCCAGCTTGCTCTTGGGGTTAGGAGAGTGGAATTTAGGACATTTGACCTTTAATTCCGAAAAATCTAAATAATAATTTTCTTTTTTAAATTAAAATATATTTTTTATGATTAAAAAACTTAATGCTATAAGTATCAGAGTTTTATATCACCGGACTCGTCTTTTCAAGGCGCATACGATAATTATGTCATATCCATTATGTATCCCAATACCAGGGCTACAATTTTGGATTTATAAGCAAAAAATTTAAAAATGTATAAAAATGTATTTAAAAACTTACATTTTCCAAGGTCTCCCCCCCCCCCAGCACCATGCCCAGCAGACGACTAACTCCCTCACCCCCACTCCCCTCACCTATACTCATTCCGCCATCTTGATTTTATCGTTAGTCATTTGTTTATACGACACTGGAGGCCACCATCTTGGTAGGTGACCGCCATCTTGATAGGTGACGACTATCTTGGTAGGCGACCATCATCTTGCTAGGCAACCACCATCTTGGTAGACATCACCCATCCACATTATTGCAAGCGAATGACCATGGCATTGACTCCATGACCCTGGAAACCCAAAACTCTAGAAAAAAATACCTAAAAGTCAACAAGCATAATACATTACAGACTACTACCACCATATTAGCTGCATACAACCCTGACCTTGACCCCATTACCTTGAATGACCTTTAAAACAAAAAAACCTACAGATAAAATACATAATATTCAACAAGCATATTATATTACTGACTACTACTGTAACGTCTCGATTTCACTACCAAGCAAACTGTCAGCACTTATAGTTAGAGACATAAGAAAACCTAGAATTTTCCATCCTATTAATATAGTAAATAAATTCCAATCAATGGTATAGCTACTTTCAAGATGCATGACTTTGACTAAATGCATAATTGATTTAATATTCTAGATACATTTAGTTGCTATTAAAAACTTAAAGGCCAACAGGAGGATACGACAGCAAAAATAAAGAAAAATAAATTTTGTATAGTAATTTATTATTATTATTTTGTAAATACGTTTCCAGAAGAAAGCAGTTCATCATATCATCTGATATAGCCCCGGTCCTTAAGTTCTTCGAAGATCGAAACCACCTCTTTCATGTCCGATAAATCCCCCTGTTTATGGAAGTCAAGCAAATATTCGAGTCTATCAACAAGTTTGTTGGGATCTTCAGTAAACATACAGTCAGTATAATCGTCGTCTTCTGTCTTCTTCGCATCATTTGTCGAAGGAAACTCGTCAAAATATGCGGGAACGTCGAGAGAATGATCATCGTCTTCAACATTATCACTGCCTCCATAGTCATCATCAATGCTGTCTTTATGATTAACTTCACTTCCTGCTTCACCCTCAATAACAAGTTTACATTTTCTTTGTAGCAGGAGTTGTATGCTCATCAGTATCTAGAGCTGACGGTCGTTTATTTTGAAGTTTTTCGACATCACACGAACATTTTGCAAGTGTACCTTCCGCACAAACCGACTGGACTGCACTAATTCCGTCTTTAGCATTAACTGCGCCGTCATAATCGTCTCCAGAAACGGTACCTATCGATGTAGCAGGAGGTATTGATGACATGACTTGCTGGTTCCCGTTAAGCGAACCTTCTCGGCAGACAGCGATGAATTGATCGAACCCACTCCTGTATCTTCCCTTATGTAGCAGGCATTCATTAACGATCGTAAAAATATTCGTAATTGTCTTTCCAGCATAAGGAACACATATATTTGAAGTCTGCAAACGTCATGTCCGTATTGACGTGGTCGTCGTACGGATGCCACTAGTTCATATTGTCCATGCGAAACAGCACCAACACATTAGTACTATCGCGAAGCATTTGTTTGGATATGCGCGAATATGTATGTCCGATGTACACGCAGTCCACGTATGCAAGTCACCCCATGTTAAAGTACTCTTGAATATGAGTTTGCTTCTTGCAGGCAATGAAATCGAAGACAAATATAGAGTTTGTCAGGTGCTTCACTTGGCGGCACGTCGGCTTCATTATCGCTGCATGGGAAATAACCGAAGCCTTCCACGGCTTGCAGTACTCGTGCTTGTCGCTGGTATTTCGGTTTCTGGAGCGACTGGGAGTACAGGTACACGTTCTCGAACCGAAGACCATTCTCTTCTTCCAGCAGGCTCAGTAGGACGCATGTCTTGCCACAACCCGATGGTCCCGGAAATAGGCTTCCATGTCGCGATCCGAGGAAAATATCTTCATAATAAGCATGAACGTATATGGGTAGAATAACACTTTGCTTAAAGATCTGTATGTTACCGCAAAAAAATCTTCTGGAACAGGTGGAGCCGTCATTCCGCAGGTCGTTCTCTCATGTCGACGGGCATGGCAGCTTTTGCTGAAGATCTTTCTACACTAGCAACACTGTTTCCATGTAATTTTCCAGCATTGGGTGAAGGTACACATGTAAGCTCTACAGTAGACTTCGTAGGATCATTGCCTTGCATCATATTCATGAAAAAAACCAAAGTCCTTCCCACAGTGGCGACATGTGTATCTACTTTGCCTAGCTACTGCTCTCTCTTATTATAAACATACTAACATGTTTCGTCAGTAAGATTTAACCATTATTTGACAACCTACTCCTGTTGTCGGACCGACCCCTCACAAGACTGACCCATTGACCCATTCTGCGATCGAGTTTCACCTATCGTCAAAATGCTCGTCGACATGATAGAATGGCCTGTACGAAGAGCCATTTTCGCGCTATGAAGCAATACAATAGTGGTCCCATGCATATTGTGCAAGGCGATACATTGAAAGAACATACGGAGATCTGCAAAATTCGTCTACTGGGAGTCAGTAAGGGTTGCCGGCACT